CACACTTATTATATTATCCTTAAAATTCAAGTCTGCTCTTGAAGGATATACCAGTTTCATATTTCCATCCATGTCTACTACTTTCACTTGTTCTACGACTAAATTATGATAATTTTCATTATTTTTTTCTTCTAAAGTACATCCAAAACCAAGTGTGACTATTTCTTTCAAAAGCTGGTCCAGCACATTCCTGGTAAGATAGAAAATTATTTAAGAAATCAAATAAAAATTATATTTAATGAAATATAAATATTAGTATACAATTATTTTACCTGCAAATGTGATATGACACAGCACTGGTTACTTCCACAAATACATTTTCAGTATTTACTGACATTTTAGTAACGTCACTATTGGTTATCGGTGGGAAAGATATAACTTGTTCTGAAGCATCTAATAAACATGGAAACACAGGTTTACCTTCTAGCAGATAGAGATATTTATGAATGCTAGAATACACATTCCGCTTTTTATCCTTTCTTAAATTTTCAGCTTCTGTTTGTAATTGTTGGAATAATGTAGCTCCAGTATAAATGTTGTTACGCATTAACGGTTTAATTTCTAATAGAGTTGGGGGTTTCGCTGTATATACTAAATCACCTAGATAATAAATGTAACATTATTAAGATGCATTTTGTCTAGGTACTTATTCTATTATTTTATATTTTACTTACCAGGTTTGATTAAATTAAAATCATGCGTTGCAATGGTTGCAGCATTCCTTTTCTCACAAATGCCATCGTGTAATTTAGTTTGAAGTTGAATAAATTTTTTAAAACTATCATCAGTGAATTTCATGTTTTTAATAATGCAAGCCGCGATGTAAGGTCTTACGTTTGTTATATATTTTGTAATCTTAATGACTGGTGTATTATCTGTCACTTTCAGAACTCTTAATTTGTGTGATAAATCATTTATTTCTTTAACAATATTTTCAGATTCAGAGGATTTCTGTGTTTTTTTGCCCTTTTTTGTTTTGGCATTTGAAGCAGCTGAATTAGTGGTTCTAGGGCAATGCTGCCTAACATATTCTATTACTTGTTTAGTACGACATTGATCGATTAACTTCGACAATCTCTTATCTGTTAAATTATTTCCATTCAAGTATAACTCCTTTAGCTTATTACAATCAGCAATTTCGCCTGGCACAACTGCAATATAAATATACAATGAAACATGTCTTTTGAAACATAGATGACAATTAATAATTCAATATTGTCTTAAGACAAAATATATATTTGTATAGAAAGCAGTACCTGAAATTGAATTGTCAGCTATATTTAATATCTTCAAAGATGGTAATTGACTTATGGTTACAGGAATATCCTTTATTTGATTGCCATTGACATAAATCTCAGAAAGATGAATCAGTTCTGGATAACATACGTCAGGGAAATTTTCAAATTTATTGTTTGATAGGTTCAGAACACTCAATTTGATATTAAGTGCTTGAGAAGGTAATGAGTTCAAACTATTGGAGCTCAAGTTTAGTGTCGTTAACTGTGGAAGTTTTCCGAGTTCATCTGGTAACGACTTTAACTTGTTCCTGGAGCAATCGAAAAATTTAAGTTTTTCTAATTTATCAATTGTATCAGGCAATTCTGAAATTTGATTCGAGTGCAACACTAAAGTCGTTAAATTCTGTAACTTTTTGATGTCATTTGGTACTTTATCCAAACACGTGTTCGATATATTTAAAAAGTTCAGATGTTGTAGGTTAAATAACGAATTGTCTAAACCTGTTTTTTCAATCAATTCAGATATTGCCGGGCCTGACAACACTAATTCATGTTTGTTTTCTGCAGCGGCGGTTTTGATCACGTGCCACGAATTGTCCAGTGTCATTATGCTAAATGATAATGAAGTTCTTTCGGTATTAAAATTATATCATTTGTGTCGATTCAAGGTTATTTGCCGGGAAATGCACTTGAAAACGTGTGTGTTAGACGATGCTACGAATGCCTATGCCTATGAACATCTGCAGCTGCACAGAAGAGTTTTACAGAGGCGAACCGGTGTTTTTTGGGAACAAATGTTCAGTGCGCATGCGTATCTAGTACATCATGAATATAGCTCTACAATTTTGCGATATCTAGACAATTGACAATGAGAAATTCGAAATTTAATTTGAACATTAGGCGGGATGTGTAATTTTTGAATTTTTAAACCCTACGATTTTAGAGTTAAACTAAATGAATTAAATGAGATCGAACATTATATATAATATCTATGAGACACTACATAGAACTATACCAATGTATATTATGAAAAATAATTTGTTTCTTTTTATGTACGGTGTTATCGTTTACCGGTAAATCATAATGTATAGGTATACAAATTATAATAATAAAACTAATAAAAGTGAAAATATCCCTTTTAAGTCGCGATATAACTATAACACTTGTTATGTTTTTTAATAAAAATTGAATACATATACTTATTTTTATTGTATATTGACAACATGTGCAACTACTTTTGTGTTTTATAACCTTTAATAGTCTTTTTAATGGTGATTGCTGCTGTTTTTTAATTGTTTTCTGTTTGAAGCATTTTCATTTTTCTTGAAACCACATTTTTCAATCTCCAACATTCTTTCTTTAGACGTTTAGATTGTAGATCACTGATAATAATTTATTTTTGTCATGCTGAAGTATTGACATACATTCGTTCGTTTTTCTTTAGATTGCCTAATAATAAATTATGTAATTATAAATTTAGACTAGCATGTTAATTCATTTGTGCATCGAATAGTTTTCCCGAGTAACATTTTGATACCATTGCTGCATATGTATTTTTATTTTTTATTTCATTGTGTATTACTGTATTATACATTTTTAGATCCTTAATGACACACATTATACTACATATATAATTCATTATAATTTTCTTTTAATTCGTTATTCCTTGAATTACTTCTGAAAATGCAGATACTTGTACCTAATTATTTGCAATAAGATTTTACAGCTTTACAGATGAAGCGCAATATAAGTTTATAAGCTTAAGTTATAGCCTAGTGTTGCCCGGAATTCAACAAGAGGAGAAAAAATTCGAGAAATCGATGAGATTTATTTAATTAATTAGTATCCTATATTTCCCATTGTGATTTAAATAATCAAATTTTGTTATTAAAAGGTTAAAAAGTTAATATTAAACATATTCACAAAAATACATTTGTGTACATTTGCTCTAACCTATTCTAACGAATAGATTAAAGTAATTTATTTGTGCGATATAAAGTATGAATTTTCTAAACCAGAGGTATAGAAATAGCTTCGATGTGAACGTCTATGCAAATTACATTCACACGTGTTCTAATAAATGCAAATCGTCACGTAAAACCGATTCAGGAACTTAGGGTAACAATTATCTTGTTAGCATTAAAGAAGAAAGGGTGTCGTAGAATTTATGTTTAGGCAGTTCGGAACACGTTAGATACACATTTAACCGGTTTTAAATAATACGGTTGTCTCGATATGGCATTCCTTATCGGTGAATAACAGCTATTGTTAAGAAGACCACGACGAGATTCGGAGGTTCATTAAAAATTTTAATTCGCTACCAACAAATTGAAAATATTCTTTTATACTTATGTTATGCAATATTCATGAGAGGACTGTTCGTAAGAAGACAAATCTCCGATTTATATTGTATGCATATATGTATATGTGCATATATGATTCACTGTATATGATTCATTGACAATTATTACAAATTCGACGGAAATGGGAAACCTGACAGATGTTACAAATGATTGTCGTCGCGTGCGCAGACGTTTTTACGTAAATTTCCCAATAAGAGGAATATCATAATCCATAACGGGCCGAGTGGGAATATAAAGAAAGACTTTATTACCGACCTTCGATTCTCAGTCACCGGTGTGAAGGATCGAGCAAGGTCCTTAGGAAATATCCAATATCAATGATAGAGCCCAACGAAATTTGCATGTGAATAAACTGCGAAGGAGGATGTTAATTTTTGTCGGCGTTAAAGAACGCCTATAACTACCTGTGAATAATACTCTGACTCTCAAAACAGTAATGTCAATTACTCGGACATTGAATTCAAATTTCTTTTCCGTGTTAGCTAATTACTTTTCTATTCATCGAGCCCATTGCCACGAGAAAGAAAATTCTGTTGCATACCGTTTTCTTTACATAATTCTAAGTAAACAACATTATAATTTCAAGGGTTAAACAAGCTCATTATTAAGCTGTGGATGTTTATGCAAAATAAAAACTGTCTGTGTCAATTATAAGAGACAGGAGCCAAACAAAAGCGCCTCCCTTTCTTTGATAATTTTAAAAGATTGGAAACAATATAATGATGTTCTTAAATTCTTTTAATTTTTCTTCTGTTTTAAGTAGCAATTACTCAATTTTTATATAACTGCATGAAATTAGCAATTCATTATCATACATTCTATGCGAAGCATTTCTGGCGGTAGAATCTTTGAAAATTGCGATAAATGGTTTTACAATATAATATTTTTATGGTAGCAGCTAGTAACATGAAATTTTTATTTCTTCGATTACGTCCTTATTGCCTCTATTCTAGATGATTGTTCGCATACGTTACGTTGAAATTAATTTCGCTCCATCGACCAAAAATATCGCGTTGGAGAAGTTTATGACACCTCATCTCTCATATTGTACACCTTGACGGGTATTATCCTATATATGACAACCATAAATGTTGTCCGGCGCGTCGGTGGGAAGCCTCTCGGAATCAAGCCGGCGAATCTTGACTTCCTGTTACCCAAAGTCCACGGTTATCAGAGACTGTCCCCGATCGCTTCCGCATGGAAGCATTGGACAGTTCCGCGGGTGGGGTTGCTCGAGTGCGTATAAAGTCAGGAAGAATCGGTCGATTTTCGTCAGTGGAATTGGCTCGAATCACAGAGTCGACTCAATTCGGTCAAACGAAGCCTTTTTCACCAAGAAGTTCATCATGGGTCATCGTTGTCCAGTTATTAGCACGCTCGTATTCGTCCTTCTGACGTCAGCGTCCGCCTGGCCGTTCCAGCGCCGAGACATCCTGGACAATTCAGTGGATAGTCCCGAGGGAGTGATTGCTCATTTACAGCACTTCGGAGAGCTTCTCTACCAGTTCCCGGACAACGCGACCGGACAGATTGTGGCGAACTGGCACGAGGGTTTGGACATTAATCCGGAAGAGTTGGGTAGCTACGCGGAGGGTGATATTCTGTTCCCACCCCAGCTGGGCAAGAATGGCCTCAAGGCGGAATCTGCCCGATGGCCAAGTGGTGTCGTTCCTTATATAATCAGCCCATATTTCAGTAAGCGATATCATAATTTTCTATTTACTCGAACTCGCAAAGTGGATTTTAACTTCTTGCGCTCGAAGCCATTTTAACACGCCGAGTGCAGAATACCGACCTTAACGTTCCCACGAAATTAAACTAATATTTTTATGCAAAATAGATGTTGTCTGTAATTTTAATAAGTTGAGAATAACTCAACAGCGTCTTTAAATTCTTTAAATCTTTTCACTGTTTGCAATTGACCTATTAATTTTTGTCATAAACGCATCAAATCTGTACTCTATTATTTAATGTTGAAATTTATTATAGTGAGTGGTATTTGAACTCCTTTGCATTCTAAATGTTCGAATATATTACGATACTAATTAGTTACAAACCTAGTCAAAAATTAGTTGTTGCTCAGCAAGGATCGATTTAAAGTTATAGAACCTTTTAATAGGTACAACTTCATAGATGGATCGAAGGATTTTTTTAAAAGAATCGTTCTTATTTCAAATGTCCCCATAAGGGCTGATAAACTAATGGTTTTGAAATTAAAGGTTAGGGAATAATCATTTTCTTTTTAAATAATAGGTACAGATATTTTGTAATTAATTTGAAAATAACTGTAACAAGTTCTAAATATTATTTAATAAATTCTATTATGACAGTATTAAATAATCGTTACAGTTAAGTTAATATTATGGATACTTCATAGATCAAGGATTATGTAGTCTTTTTTAAATAAAAGTTTCAAGATAACTTTTTTTCGAGGAACTTTTATTATACGCATTTCCAATCATGTATTTGTTTGAGAGTGCTTTCAAGAA